GTTGGCGTCGTCGTCGTCGTCGTCGTCTGGCGTCGTCCGGCGTCGTCCGAAGACACATTGGTTTTCGCACTCTAACTTTAGTTTAAGTGAATGGATCTCCATGAAATTTTACCATAAGGTTCAATACCACGAAAGGAAGGTGGGGATTGATTTTGGGGGTTATGGTAATAACAGTTAAGGAATTAGGGGCCAAAAAGGGGCCAAAAATAAGCATTTTTGTAACTTCCAGACAATAACTTGTGTGAAAGTGTATGGATCTCTCTGACATTGTACCACAAGGTTCCATATCACAAAGGGAAGGCTGTAATTGATTTTGGGGGTAATTGCCTCAAAATTTTAGGAATTAGGGGCCAAAAAAGGGGCAAAAAACAAGCATTTTTCTAGTTTCATGACAATAACTTGTGTGTAAGTGTTTGGATATTTCTGAAATTGTACTACAAGGTTCCATATCACAAAGGGAAAGCTGGAATTGAGTTTGGGGGTAATTGCCCGAAACGTTTAGGAATTGGGGGCCAAAAAGGGGCCAAAAATAAGCATTTTTCTAGTTTCCAGACAATAACTTGTGTTCAAGTGTATGGATCTCTCTGAAATTGTACTGCAAGGTACCATACCACAAAGGGAAGGCTGGGATTGAGTTTGGGGGTGATGAATCATAAGGGGGTTCAAAAAATTTGGGGGGGGGGGGGATTTTTTTTTTTCTTTTTTTTTCTTTTTTTCCTTTTTTTTTTCTTTTAAAATTTTCCATTTTAAGTTGGGTATTTCTGATTAATATTTAAAAGCAAATAATAATGATATGGTAGGAGATACACACCAAACAGGATGTGTAAATTATTATATAATAAGTATTGTGCAATAGCAAGAAATTTTCAATTGCACAGTATTGCACAATTGCAAGAAATCTTCAATTACACAGTATTGCGCAATAGCAAGAAATCTTCAATTGCACAGTATTGCGCAATAGCAAGAAATATCCAATAGCACAATATTGCGCAATAGCAAGAAATTGTCAATTGTACAGTATTGCACAATAGCAAGAAATATTCAATTGCACAGTATTGTGCAAAAGAAGATACTTCGTATAAATTGCTTATTTCTTGATCAATTTCAATGGGGTTTTATTCTTGAATTCTTGGGGTTCTTTAATATGCTGAATCTAACCGTGTATTAAGTTTTTGGATTTTGGGCCCCGTTTTTAAATTGGTCCACATTGAGGTCCAAAGGGTCCAAAATTTAACTTTGTTTGATTTCATCAAAAATTGAATTATTGGGGTTCTTTGATATGCCGAATCTAACCGTGTATTTAGATTCTTAATTTTTGGTTCCGTTTTCAAATTGGTCTACATTAAGGTCAAAAGGGTCCAAAATTAAACTTAGTTTGATTTTAACAAAAATTGAATTTTTAGGGTACTTTGATATGCTGAATCTAAACATGTATTTAGATTTTTTATTATGGGCCCAGTTTTCAAGTTGGTCCAAATCGGGGTCCAAAATTAAACTTTGTTTGATTTCAACAAAAATTGAATATATGGGGTTCTTTGATATGCTGAATCTAACCATGTATTTAGATTTTTGATTTTTGGGCCCCGTTATCAACTTTGTCCACATTGAGGTCAAAAGGGTCCAAAATTAAACTTTGTTTGATTTCATCAAAAATTGAATTCTTGGGGTTCTTTGATATGCTGAATCTAACCATGTATTTAGATTTTTTATTTGTGGACCCGCTATCAAATTGGTTCATATTGAGGTCAAAAGGGTCCAAAATTAAACTTTGTTTGATTTCATCAAAAATTGAATTATTGGGGTTCTTTGATATGCCAAATCTAACCGTGTATTTAGATTTTTAATTTTGGGTCCCATTTTTAAATTGGTCTACATTAAGGTCCAAAGGGTCCAAAATTAAACTTAGTTTGATTTTAACAAAAATTGAATTCTTGGGGTTCTTTGATATGCTGAATCTAAACATGTGTTTAGATTTTTGATTATGGGCCCAGTTTTCAAGTTGGTCCAAGTTGGGGTTCAAAATTAAACTTTGTTTGATTTCAACAAAAATTGAATATATGGGGTTCTTTGATATGCTGAATCTAAACATGTATTTAGATTTTAGATTTTTGGCCCAGTTTTCAAGTTGGTCCAAATTGGGGTCCAAAATTAAACTTTGTTTGATTTCAACAAAAATTGAATATATGGGGTTCTTTGATATGCTGAATCTTACCATGTATTTAGATTTTTTATTTGTGGGCCCGCTATCAAATTGGTTCATATTGAGGTCAAAAGGGTCCAAAATTAAACTTTGTTTGATTTCATCAAAAATTTAATTATTGGGGTTCTTTGATATGCCAAATCTAACCGTGTATTTAGATTTTTAATTTTGGGTCCCATTTTTAAATTGGTCTACATTAAGGTCCAAAGGGTCCAAAATTAAACTTAGTTTGATTTTAACAAAAATTGAATTCTTGGGGTACTTTGATATGCTGAATCTAAACATGTGTTTAGATTTTTGATTATGGGACCAGTTTTCAAGTTTGTCCAAGTTGGGGTCCAAAATTAAACTTTGTTTGATTTCAACAAAAATTGAATACATGGGGTTCTTTGATATGCTGAATCTAACCATGTATTTTGATTTTGGACATTGGACCATAATAGGTAAATTAAAAAAATTGAAGTTCTTAGACCACATTCTTTCTGTGTCAGAAACCTATGCTGTGTCAAATATTTAATCACAATCCAAATTCAGAGCTGTATCAAGCTTGAATGTTGTGTCCATACTTGCCCCAACTGTTCAGGGTTCGACCTCTGCGGTCGTATCAAGCTGCGCCCAGCGAAGCATTTTATTTTTATAGTAAGCATAATAATTATATATACTGCCCTCATATTGCATCAAAGATAGAAAACAAAATTGACTGGATGTACAGAAAATTTCATGATGCTTTAGAAAATGGGATTTTCAATATGTTTTGGGGGGCAATTTAAAACCTCTTTATTCCTTTGTCTTTAATTTCCCACAAACAGTTTTTCGACCCATGAGAAAATTTGACAGCAACAGGCACCATTGTGATCCATTGTCCTTATCTGATGTTATGCTTCACAATTCTAAGAAATTAAATCTGATATATAGACTTATCTGACATGGCCATCTTTATTAAACCTATTTTGTTGATGTATATAAGGTACTGAGAATGCCAAGCATGAAGCCTAATCCTTCTCATGTACAGCATATAACAAGAAATCTTATATTTAAATGTCCCAAGGGTCGATGGGTTTATGTTGACTTGAATGACAATATGAAAATTGATTACATGAATCTGCTTTCATTTGCATCATTTTGGATAAAAAAATATGATTTCCCTAGAGGGATTTGCTTTGTAAAAGCAGCTTAAAATATGTTTTTCTTTTTTGGTTTCAAATTTCATTTGGAAAAGGATGCTTTTGATCAATAAATATGAATATACAATACTGCAACCATTCCCATATTGAGAAGTACATTATACAGGAAGGGTATGTGTTTTTATATGTTTTATCATTTTTATCGTGATGAAAAGGTATGAATTGTCTTTTTGTTTAAATTGTGCACAACCTGAAAATTGACACTTTTATATTGCTTACTTACTTGTATTTACTGTACCCGGTAGTAATTGATACAAAGAAAAAGTGGTTTTGCTCCTTAGAATTTTATTGTTGCTGTGTTATATATAATGTAGATCTGAGTCACAAAGAGTTATCATTGGTCATTCTGTTCCATGGTTACTAAAGGTCATTCTGTACAATGATTATCATGGGTCATTCTGTTAATTGATATTATGGGTCATTCTGTTCAATTATATAATGGGTCATTCTGTTTAATAGTTACCAAGGGTCATTAAATTTAATCATTATCAAGGGTCATTCTGGTCCATGGTTACTAAGGGTCATTCTGTTCCATGGTTACCAAGGGTCATTATATTTAATCATTATCAAGGGTCAGTCTGTCTAATAATTACCAAGGGTCATTCTGGTCCATGGTTACCAAGGGCCATTATATTTAATCATTATCAAGGGTCAGTCTGTCTAATGATTGCCAAAGGTCATTCTGTTCCATGGTTACCAAGGGTCATTATATTTAATCATTATCAAGGGTCAGCCTGTCTAATGATTACCAAAGGTCATTCTATTCCATGGTTACCAAGAATTGCTACCAACGGTCATTCTGTACAAGAGTTACAACATGTAATTCTGTTCAAATGTTGCTTTACAAGTTGAAGAATAGAAATTTAATCCTATCTGAAGGAAATGTTTGAGGAAAGGTAATACATTAGTTTTCATTATATCCTTCATTTAACTGGATTTGTTTGGGCTACTGTTCAAATTTTAGAAATTTACTCTTTTAATAATGGATCCAGGCAGTAGATAAAACAAATATTTTGTTGGTAAAATATATGTTAATTAGTCATGTTCAGAATCTCAAGGCCTAGTAATTATCGAAAGATAGACAAAAAATAAATCTTTTCACTAGATCCAACGCACATCAAATTAGAACCAACTTTTCTCCTGAGATAACTAATTAATAATAAATCTGTAGAGTAATCAGTATCACCTTCACAAAAACCTTTGTTGTTTGCGGAGGGTAAGATTCAATAATTATTTACCGCTAATATCATTAATCATTCAGCGACTTTTTTACCCAGTTTAATCAGAAGGCATTTCTTCCACATGCCAAACTAATGGTCCATCAACAGTTGGATTATGTAAGTTCAGATTGACTTGAAGAGAAGTGGATGATTTCTTTAAAGACTTTAATAATAACCTTTGCACAAAGGTACTGGTACATGAATATGATCAGTTTAATATTTGATTTTTTACTCTGTTTTGTTTTGTTTGGAAAGGTAGGCAGGGGCTTGTTGTTAGCCAGAAAACTTTCAAACACTTGATCTTCTTAAAGGTTTGTTAGAACTGAAATCATGGAGTGAATCAAAGTGATTAATTGAACCAGATTGCCTTATGAAACCTTTTTTTTGTGATTGCAGGTACCTAGTTCAGCAGACTTATGCCGCAAATCACCATCCTAATACCAGGATGGAAGACATCCCGGACCATTTCCTGTCCATGAATCATGCCGAGAGGATGATGAAGAAAATTGAGGGATATGCTGGTAAGAGGCAGCTGTGTGATGTTGTCATCATTGCTGGAAATAAAAGAATCCCGGCTCACCGTTTAGTACTGAGTGCTGCTTCAGATTATTTTGCTGCTATGTTTACAAATGATGTCAGGGAAGCAAAGATGGAGGAAATTGTGATGAAAGATGTGGACCCAGAATCTTTAGTAGCTATTGTTAATTACGCTTATACAGGTAACTAAACACTGTAGATCAGGAAATTGTAGCTATGTTTGCAGTAGGTATTTTACCACAAAATTTACCCTATTTAAACATTCACTGTACATTTAAATGCATTGTATAAGGCAGTGAAAAGCAAAAAAATGAACAGACTTAAAGATAAAACTGTCCCTACCTAGGCCTAAATTGAAATTAAAAAGTGATGCAAAAATAATCTGATATATGGTACCATGGAATCAATATCTAATGATCAATTTCATTTGATCACTTTTCTTGTTGTTTTTTTTGCAAAAGATAACATGAATTTCAGTTTAGAAATATCTTCCTTTTGAAATGGATGTCAAGATAACAACACACTTTTTTTTATATAAAAATACATGTAATAGTCACTGAGCCAAGCTTTAAGTGATTCTGTTTTTTAATAATTTTTTTAATGGTATTTCTTACATTACTTACCATTAATAACAAAGAAAAGAGTTCAGATTGGTTCAAGGAAGGAAACATCATTTTGAACCTATTAACAGTGCCAACTTCAAAAACTTATTGCAAAATATTTTCCCATAATTTTATGAATTAGAGGTGTATTTTATGGTTTTATCAATTATTGCTAAAAAATTTCAAGATGTTTTGGTCATGCAATATAACTCTGGAGGCTGTTTAGTATGACAGATGTTATATCTTCATAAATGACTTAATTGAAGTAAAAATAAGGTTTATATTAGAAAAATGTTTGTGGATAAAGGAAATCAACGGTAAAAAAACCTTTCAAAAGTTCTCCGACCTTGTAATTATTTCAAGACTGACAGAGATGAGGCTTCTCATTACAACAGAACAAATATCAAAATATGTTTTTCTATTTACATATGGTCCACTTCTCCTCTTTTGAAACTAATTAATTCAGTTTTTATGCATGTGTTGAAGAAAACATAAAATTTTTGCACAGGAAACATTAACTTGAAGTTCATTTTATGGATTTGTGTGTTCTTAATGAGTGCTTTAGCATAAAAAATGATGAAACTGGGTAAAACAAAAACAACTTGCTTCAAGTCAAATGTAATACTACTTATTTTATGTGTATTAAAAGAAAGAGATCCAACCATAGGAGTCATAAATTTTAGAAATTTTCAAACTTGAAACCAGAAAAATTTGTTTGCTCTGACATATGACTTTCTGAATTTTATACTCATTTTGAACTTGATACTGTAAAGTGAGAAATTTTTCGCAAGATTTATTTTAACTGATTGAGAGAAAATCATGAAAAAGGACCCTTGTATAATTTTGGTTTTTTGTTTTATAAAATTATGAATCAGATAGAAGAAAAATTTGTGAAATAAAACTTTTGGAAATGGTTTGGCACTTGAGAAATAGCAAAATTTCAACTCATCTAAAATAAAGCACTTTACAGTATTTCATACATGTTTGTAAATGTTATGACTCCTGGCCTTGTGGACATAAAAATTTCTAGTACAATTATTGTATTCAGACACTGAATTCAATCAAAATACTGGATTTGGTGTTTCAAGCATAAATTTTGTACCCCTGAGTACTGAGTCAAGTTTTATGACAGAGAGCCCTGTACTTCAGCTTCTTTATTGCCATTTTATTCATCATTACATTATCAACTGGTCATTGAATAGACACAATTACTTAGAAGAAGGTCTACAACAGTAAATTGAATATCTTACAGCCAAATATAAAAGCAATAAAATGTATATAAAAACAATCACCATGTAAACATTTGGGATGTATTTCAGTAACTTATGCTGCACATAGTAAAATTTCTAGCCTGAAAACTCATTAGAAGTATGTAATTAGAACATATTTCCCTGGTGATACATTTTTTTGTAGACATGAAAAAAGTTAATGTTCTAATATTACAATAATTATTTTGAAACCAATTGAATTTAGGATATTGATCAATGATATTCATTTCTATTAAAGCCCTCAAGAAATGAACTCCTGAGTCTGCTACATTGTTAATTCATCCGAATTGCACAGAAATTACTCCGGATTGCATAATTGAAGAAAATAACGGAAATTGTTCCTTCAATAATTAAATGTCTGTTGCACATCTGTACATCCTCCCGTCACGGGGGTACAATTTAATAGTTTGATTGATGATGTAACGCTCATTTATCATTCAAATACAGAATTGGACTCTCATTTTCTAAAAAACAATAACAACAAAAGTGACTCAATCTGTTGCTTCTGAAATAAGATGCTTAGTCATTACCAATATTCTTAAATACGATAGCAAGTTTAAATTCTTGGTTCACGTGTCTTGATTAATTGGTTGTTGCTTGCTAACGTCCAGTGGCAATTATTTCACATAGTCTTGAAAAAAAGCTGCAAATATATACTTCCATAATGAGCTGTTCCCTAAAAAGTGGTTAGATTTAATCATTTGATTACTAATTTTATAAAACAAACCAGAAATAAAGTCTTCAGAGATTTTTAGTACAGCTTTTTGTATAGGAAATTTTTAGGTTATAAATTGTATTAAGATAATGCCTGAATCATCCTTAAAGCTGTTTTGATAATACCTTCATCTAAGTTAAATGTACATGTTAGCATTAAATTTGTTTCTGGTATGTTAGTACTAAAAACTTTGTCCTTGGTATACAATTCCAAATGATTTTTATAGTGTGTTCTTATGTTGTGCTGTTTCACCACTGTGGGAGGTTTATAGCTTTACCTAGTTCTATAGGGTATGTTAGTTTTTTTCATTGTTGATGGCCATATTATGAATGAGTGCCTTATAGTGACTAGTTGTTAATATCCTCATTCTTCTTTTCAATTTCAATTTTCTACATGTACAGATGGTCAAACAGTATTGCCATTTAAATTTCAACTCTTGCATTTATAATACTATCGAAAGGACACACCTGTAAGACATTTGTCTGTGTTAGCAGAATATCATAGTGCATATTCAGTACATTGTGTTCGAAATTCATTTTGCATTGAAATTTGCTAGTGTTGAATTAATCATTCAATGCTGAAATCCAACAGAATCATTAAAGAAAAGCTCCAATTAGCAAATTACTATTTAAATATTGCTTGGAGAACAAACAATGGGCGACCTTTCAATATATTGTCAGGTAAAAGATTGTCATCAAACATTAATGAAAATGATGTAGATTGCATCAGTGTTTTATTGTGACAGTAGAAAAATCTCATATTTTGTCTGGTGATTTTAGATGAATACTATGATATAATGTGTGATCTGACAGAACCTATTGTTTTATGATGGTTCCAAAACTCATTACTAAAACCTGTTTCATATTTCAAATTTTTCATCTTTAAAAAGTTTTAATGTGAAGTGGAAGCATTTAAATGCAGTTGTTTGCTTTTGAGGTGTGCAATTTCATTGATGGATGCATATTTCTGATCAATAATATTGAATTGTTGAAGAAAATATGTTGGAATAGTCAATTTTATATTTGGAAAATTAGATATCATAATCAGAATTTCTACACATGACTGAACACCATTTATCATAACACCTACAGTATTAAAAAAAAAATGAGTGGAAATTCCAGTCATGGTAAATTTTGAAATTATAGAGAGAAAAATCCCTAACAGCAGCACAATTTTGAAAAGCTCTAGAAATATTATAGTGATAGCTTTCATCATTATAATTAATCTGTTCCCAGAAGTACAAGGGATGTGAGGCCTTAAAAAAATTTACCTATTACAGAAATGGCTTCTCTGATTTGAACTTGAAGCATTTCTCTTTTGATTTTGAATAAGTTACACCAGTTTTGTATCCCACAAATAATTACTGTGTTCTTATTTTCCTCATTGAATCTAGACAACTAAAAAACCTTAGTGGGTATTCACAGACCATTCATCTTTTGTTAGGGCACTTTTTTTTTTTAATGAATTGTTTGATTTCTATTCCCTGGAACAGAGCAATTGTTTCAGAATGGAAGTGAAAAAAAAATATTTATTTCAATTGATGATTAATTGATTGTTTGTTGCTTAATGTCCAGTGGCAAATATTTCACGCAAGTTCAGGACGAGAACAAATTAACAGTAAATACAATAGGTAGGTCCTGTAATAGAGGTCGTCCGGGATGAAGGTCAGGGAAATTTAGACTGCAACAGGAAAATGAGGGTATATTGGATAGGGCGAGAAATTTTGCCTTGCAACAGGCCACCTATAGACCCCATCAAAGAGTTGTTACAAGGGTTCTTAGGATGCAGAGAGCATCGCACTCTTTTTACACAAGGCATTGGATTTAACGTCCCCATTCTGACCGGATGCTATTTCAATTGAAAAGTGAAAAATGATTTCAATTTTGAGTTTCAAAAGTATTTCATTGTTCAGGTATGACATGTAAATAAATATTTATTTTTTGTTAAAATTGAGAGAATTTTTTTTCCCAAAAGAAAAGAGTTCAGTTAACACATGTACGGTTTTGGTTGTAAGAAATATTATGGAATGATTAGAGCCTCACAGCAAACACATTTTTTGAAATAACTAGTTTTTTTAAGGCGTCAAATTTTTAAGACTATATAACCTAAACATACTCAATCATGCAATGGCACAAAGCATATCGAACCACAATATACATTTTGCCTTTCTCCCAGCTGTCAACAATCATTTAAATGCTTTAAATAATTCCCAAAAGTTGTTGTCAGACACACAGTGTCACATTTTACAGTTGCAGATGCAAATGTAGACTTTTAAGTTACAAATGTATGTTTAGCATCAAGACAAACAGCAAACAAAATAAAAGAACTTTAAGTTTCAGTTTGTAATCATGTGATCTGTTTCAACTACAGAACTCGTTCATATACAATAACTTGGAACAATTTAGCATCAGATCATTCATCAGGTGTTCTGTGACTGCTGAGAACAATTGTAATAACTTGGAGCAATTTCCTAGTCATTTATCCCCACTAAGAACATCAGTTTTCAATATAGTCATCTACTGTTGTTTTTCAATTGGTAGAAAATAATTTTGTATTCTTTTATATTTATCTGTGTATAACTATATTGCCACTGATTT